GCAACGAAGGGCTCAAGTATAGCAAGGACTGTGAGCCTGGCACACGACCGGGCAGCGTTTGTTCTGTTGTCCAGGGTCACTGTGAGTCAGCTGACTCGACCACACCTAACAACAACAACAAGACTATAAAAAAAATAAAGCAGGGTGAGAAATAGAGGACAGCATGTATGGTAGTTCAGTTTGTGTATCAACTTGGCTGGACTTGGTTGAGTGGCTGGGCAGCTGGATGTAATACTCCCCATGATAAGATTGGTAATCAACTCCATGGTGGAATCTACTGGGAGCAGCTGAGTAGCTGTCTTTGGGCATGTGGTTTGCTTCCTGTATATAAGAAACAGCTTTGTAAATGGTCTCTACCCTATGGCACGCTTGGACCCTGCATGTAGCCGTGAAGTTGTTCAGTAGCCTGCCATGCTGTGCCGACCTTGGGACTTACAATAGACTTAAATTAATGGCCTGCAATGTGGTTTGGTAACATCGGGACTGTGCCTTTTTACTTGTCACCCTTGGGGCTTCCAGCCTCAGCAGCCAGCAGCTGTCTGAGTGAAGAAACGTCTCTAGCTCCAGTGGGCCAGGAGCAGGAAGCAGAGCTGAAGCCCAAAGCTGAGGGGCTTTCACCCAGCCCCCAGAGCCTGGCACTTTGAACTTGGACTTAAAGCCTCCAAATTGTAAGAATGAACTCCTGCTTGTTAAGGCCTCCCATTTGTGGTATATTCTTGTCAGAGCGGCACTAGGGAACAGAACAGCACACATATGGGTTTCTCTTGATCTTTAGCCATGAAGAAGTAGTGACATTTGAGCAGAATCCAGGCTGGCAAGGAGCATTTTAGACAAAGGGAACAAACTGGATCTTTTTCCCAAGACAATGGGAAGCTACTGGAGGGTGTTATGGATTGAACTAGGTCCCCAAAAAATATGTGTTGCAAATCCTAAACTCTATGCCTGTGGTTATAATCCCATGTGGCAATGATATTTGTCTTTGTTGTGTTAATAAGGCAGGATTAGTGTAGAGCTTGTTTTAAGTCAATCTTTTGAGATATAAAAGAGATTAAACAAGCAATTGAGAGACATAGAGGGGGGAACGAGAGCTGGCAAGCCCCATGAAGTTCACCCAGGGGCAGACACAAAAGAAATGAGGACCTTCCTCCAGACCCAACAGAAAGACAGCCGGCACTCTGAATTCTGACGTCTAGCCCCCTAAACTGTGAGAAACTAAATTTGTTCATTAAAGCCACCCCCTTGTGGTATTTCTTTTATAACAATACTAGATAATTGAGATTACTAGCACTTAGATCACTACGGCAGAGGGTTTAAGCAGGAGAGTGATGTTTTGCTGTGTGGTCAGTGGATCGTAGGGGTCCCAGGGAAGAAGCAAGAGAAAAGAGAACAATTTTCAGGAATCTGATAATTACTGGAGGAGGAGGAGGTGGGGTGGGACTAGGGAGAAGCGAGGGGCTCTGGGACCAGCACTCTCAGCTTGCACCCCACACTCCCAGGGCCCCCTCTCTAATAGGGTGGGTGGTCTTTAAGAATAAAGAAGGACCCTTCTCAGCTAGGTCTACCCATAGCCCTACCACTTTCGCCTTATGAAGTCAGGCAGCCTTGAGAGAAGAGGAGTGCCTGGGGTCTGATGGGGAGGGAAGAGGATGGCATCCCAAACCCAAACCCAACCCAACCCAACTCATACTGACTCCCATTGGGTTTCCAAGGCGGTAAATCTTAATGGAAGTAGATTGCCTCATCTTCCTTCTGCAAAGGAACTGGTAGGTTGGAACTGCCAACTTTCTGGTTAGTAGTCAAATGCCTTAGGCACTGCGCCACCAGAGCTCCTTACAACGTCCAAAGTATGATTTTTTTTTTTTTTTCCCCCAACACTGTCATCAAGAGGTAGGTTTATTCTTTTTTTTTTTGGCCAGGGGTCACTCAGTCCTCTCCCCGGATGCTTCCTACCAGCAGAGAGCTGGGGTGGGTATTCATTCCCCGCTCCCTGAATCTCCACCACGGGAGATCCCGCATGCTTCTTCCTCCCGACTGGGAAGTTCCTCCTCAGGTCTCACCACAATCCTCCAGGGCTCTGGGCTGAATTACTTAGAATGTGGGCGAAAGAAGGCTGCTGCGTGTGTCAGAACACAGACCTCCAAGAAAGGAAATTCTACTGGCCTTCCTTCTTCCTCTACCCCACTGTCTCCTCTCCCAGAAGGTTCCCTGCCCACTCCAGGCCAAGCCCAGACAGGACTCCAGGCAGGCCTGGGGAAGAAGCGAGGGGATGGTATGTGCCAGCGGCTCCCTTGGCTGAACTCACCTTCTCCCTTCTCCCCCCTTCCCACTCTCAAGAAGCCAAAGAAAAGGAGAGCAATATTCTGCAAGCCCACAGTCTTAAGCCAGGATTGGCTCCCGGGCCTGTAGCTACTTGCAAGCCTGTTTACCAGGGGCCCCAACCTTCACACTACCAGGTCCTCATCTCACTGAAACCTTAGGCCCCCAGAGGGAGAGGAACGGTCTCTAAGGACTTGGAGGGGCTGACCCTGGACCTCTGATGAGGCACCATTCAAAATTCCTGGGACCCATTACACCTCACGGCTTCCTGGGACACATACTGCTCCAACATTGTTCAGTCCCAGGATAGTTTCTGGCACATAATGGGGACATGATGAATAATCAGCAATTGAAATCTCCAGAAAGAGTCACTGTACATCAGTCTGTTCTATTGCCTCCCCTGAAAACAGGCTTTGACTTTAGGCTAAACCCAGAACTGATTCCCAATGAAGCCACTCCATTCCTCGATGGAACGCCTCCTAGGTAACATGCCTTGTGTGAACTAGAACATGATCTCTGTCCCTCAGTGTTTTCCTCTGAAACATGAAAGCACTACTGCATCATAAAACTCTTGAGAATGACACAGAATAAGACATAAACACAGTCACGTCGTTGTGTGCCTTCAAGTGGACTCCAACTAATAGCAACCCTGTAGGACAGAGTAGAACTTCCCCATAGGGTTTCCAAGGCTGGAATCTTTATGGAAGCAGACTGCCTCATCTTTCTTCCACCGACCTGTTGGTGGAGTCAAGATTCAGACCTCCAAGCTTTCCTATGGCAGCTGTGCGCTTAACCAGTGTGCCACCAAGGCTCCTTTAAAAAATAAAAAAAAAAACTATGGCGGGTGGTATTAGTGTGGTTATAAGTATTCAGGAGCTCTGGTAGCATAGCACCTAAGGGATTTGACTGCTAACCAGAAGGCTGGTGGTTCAAACCCACCAGCCACTCCTTGGAAGGAAGACTGGGCCCAAGGAGGGGTCGCCATGAGTCGGGGAAACTCGACAGCACATAACCACCACCACCAAGAATTGAGGGGCAGACAGGTAATAAACTGGCATTTCTGCCTAACTCCCTTGAGCACCCCGCTGCCTACTGCTCACAATTTTGTGCCCTGTCCACTACCCCGCCTCCTCTGCTACCCTGCCTCCAGCCCCTTAGGCTCGGGTCCTTGCTGCAACCCTTTCTCCTTGCCTACCCCCACCACCTCTAAGCCCTGTGAACTGTCGAATCCCCCAATTCTGCTGTCAGTGAAATTCTCGTAAATATTAATACTTTTTCTTGGGGAGCCACCTCTGCACCCTCCGTGGCCCAGCAGGAGCACAGGGTAAACCGCAGAGAACACAAGCGGCGCCACAGTCCTGTTTTGCCCACTTCCCAACCCCCTCCGAATCGCCACGGGTTCTCTTCCCGCAGTTTGTCTAGCGGCGCTCGAGGCCCGGTACCCGCCTACCGGTGGGTGGGGGCAGCCGAATCCCCGCCCCCCAGCCTGTAGACCGTCTCCGTGCGCAGCGCAGCGTCGCCGCTGGGAGCCCTGGGAGGTGTAGTTTTAGAACTCTCTCGGAAGGGACGTGGCCCGGCAGAATCTGAGTTCCTTCATAACATACACCTCTCCAGGCAGGCGACCCTGAAATGTATTTTTAGTCTCTTTTATCCTTGACAAGACCAAGCCCTAGAGCACGGGAGACACAAAGCAATGGGCTGGCTATTGGGGGCTGGCAGTTTCCATGATCTGATTAGCTGCAGGGCCTTAGGTAAGTCACATAAACTTTCTTAGGCCCCAGTGACCCTACCTTTCTTGCAAGATTGACCGGAGAGCTGCTGGCTCAGGACCTAATAAACTAAACCAAACCCACTGCCATCTAGTAGATTGTGACTCATAGTGACCCTAAAGGGCAGAGTAGAACTGCCCCATAGGGTTTCCAAGGCTATAAATCTTTAGGAAGCAGGACAGCTGGTGGGTTCGAACTGCTGACCTTTGGGTTAGTGGCTGAGTGCTTTAAGCACTGTGTCAAAAGAGCTTGTTGGGACCTACTACAGGTCCTCCTATAAGGATGCTGGTGGTACTAGCCAAAAGGTTGGTGGCTGGAGTCCACAACAGAGGCACCCCAAAGAAAGGCCTGGCTGTCTACTACCAGCCAGCAAAAAACCAGCCATTAAAAACCCTGTGGAACACAGTTCAATCCTGACACACATGGACTGCCATGAGTCCTAATCTACTCCAGGCAACTGGTTTGTTTTGTGTGTGTACCGCTACAGTTACTGGCCTGCCATTGTTGCCAAAGGAAATTCAGGCCCCTGGAAATGTCGGGGAACCCAGAGCTGGGACCTGTTTATCCCTCCCCTTCCACAGGCCCACAGGCTACTCCCACAAAATTGGGTCCCCACCTGAGGTGCCCCTCCCCGTCCCATTCCCGGACCCACCCGACCTCCCCTCATTACCACTGGCCAACCACAAACATACTCTAGATCTACTCAGAAATAGCTGATATTTATTTCCCAATGTTTTGATAATTCTTTACAAATTGAATAAAGTAATGAAGGGGAGTGTGTGGGACCCCGGACCTGGCTTGATCAGAGGAGACATCAAAACTTCTCACCCACATTTCTTGGCCCGCTGCACTGACCCCTCCTATCAACCTCACCTGAGAGGGAGGTGAGGGCTTTCTGAGGAGCTGGGATGGCCCCTAGAGGGGACTTTGGGCATCCTGTTTCGGGGCCTGAATGGGGTCAGGTTTGGGGCCTGCGTGGTTCCAAGTGTGGCGCCGTCGCCTGTGCCGCTCCTGCCTGTGGGCCAGCTCCCTCAGTTGTTTCCGAATGACCCACAGCACCAGGTACACCTCCCGCAGCAGCTCAGCTTCTGGCGACTCCAAAGGGGACCCGGTCCTCATTTGGGAGGAAACTGAGGTAGAACTCACAGATGACTATAAAGAAGACAGAAGATGAGAGTGTACATGTAAGTAGCTTAGTCTGGGAAGAAACCACTGGGTGGAATGACCTACAGGTAAACAGCAAAGGGCCTGTCTGATTCCACCTCCTCCATCACACTCAGTTCAGGCACTGTCTCCTCCAGGAAGCCTTCCAGACTGCATTAGGAGGCCTCAACACTCATATTTTTCCTGTCATGCCACATCTCATACACTGTTTGTTCCATGAACTCGTCTGCTTTCTGCACTAGACTGCAAACTCCTGGAAAACAGGGACCATGTCTCACTCACCTTTGAGTTCCTGCTCAGGACTTCATGGAGAGTAAGTTCCAGTGAAGGAGAAAATGACACCATGAGCTCTCTCCGGACTCCAGGCCTGTTTATCTCCACAGAGATGCCCCCCCAGCACCTCAAGTCATCTCATCCCAATGCCCTAAGGTCGCTCTCTTCCTCATCCTTCAATCTCCACCCCAGGGAACGGCTCCAGCCTACCCTGGTTTGTCTCTCTCTCCTTCTCCCATCACCCCATCTAATCAATCACCAGGCCCATCAATCCCACCTCTTAAATACCGCTCAGACCCATAACCTGTTCTGCCTGATGTCGCTCCTCCGGTCTTGGTCACCCTTATGTCCTAACCTGGACAGCAACAGCCTCCAATGGATCTCACTGCCTCTCCTCATGTTCCCTTCTGGTCTCCTCCATACAGCAGCCAGGTTAAGCTTTTTTGTTTGTTTTAATTTAATGCATTAATATTAAATAAATTGATTAGGTAGTGACCTTGACATTTAAATGAAACTTTTTATTCCGATACCATTGCAGAGTCATATGCATCTTAAGAAATAATGCAGAGATTCTGTATAAATTTTACCCAGCTTTCCCCAATGGCAAAATCTTGCAAAACCATATAGTACAATATTGTTGTTGTTGTTGTTGTTATGTACCGTCGAGTCAGACCTGACTCATAGCAATCCCTCCTTGGGTTTCCGAGGCAGTATCACTACGGAAGTAGATTGCCCAACCTTCCTTCTGAGGAGCGGCTGGTGAGTTTGAACCGCCAGCCTTCTGGTTAGCAGTCAAATGCCTTAGGCACTATGCTACCAGAGCTCCTATAGTACAATATTAGGACATGGAAATGGACACAACCCACTGATCTTATTCCGATTTCCCAGTTTTACTTGCACTTATTTGTGCCTGTTTAATTCTATGCAATTGTATTCCGTGTGCAGGTTCATGTATCCAACCACAAGGGTCAAGATATGGAGTCAAGTCACAGGAGCCTGTTGTCCCTTTTATAATCATACCCGGCCACCCAGCCCTCGTTCGCCATTTCTATAATTTTGACATTTCAAGAATGTTCTATAAATAGAATCATATAGTGTGTAATCTTTTGGGATTGGCTGTTTTCATTCAGGGTAATCCCCTTGAGATTCACCCAAGTTGCTGTATGTATCAGCAGTTCCTTTTTATTGGCAGTTTGCATGGACCACAGTTTAACCATTCACCCACTCATCATCTTGAGGGACATGTGGGTTGGTTTTGGTGATTACGAATAAAGCTGCTAAGAACATTTGTGTACAGATTTTTGTGTAAAGATAAATTTTCATTTCTCTGAGATGAAGGCCCCAGAGTAAAGTGGCTGAGTTGTATAGCAGTTGCATGTGGAGTTTTATAAGATACTAGCAAGCTGTTGTCACAGTGTTTCAAGGCAAAGGCACCATTTTACATCCCCATCAGCAAGGCAGGAGTACAGGTGAGCTTTCAAAATCAAAATCTGGTCCTTCCCTCCTCTGCTCAGATGTTTTCCAGGGCTCCCACTGCTCATAGGGTCAACTCCGTAACTTGGCCTACCCACCCTGCTTTGTATAAGCGCCCTTGGTTCCAGGACTGCTTCCACTCCCACCCATACGCCTTGGGCCAGCCCCTGCACACACACGTGTGCACATGCATACACGTATCTGCTTTTCTCTTTTCATGAACAGCGCCTCCCTCCCCACTCCACCCACGCCTCTTGCCAGGCTAACTCTTTCTGGTCTCAGCTCCACTCTCTCTTCTGTTAAGGAAACTTCCCCTGACTTTCCAGGTCTGGATGAAACACTCTCCCTCGGGGCTCCCACAGCCCCCTGGACCTCCCATGTCACATTCTATGACACCGAACCAACAATGTCTGTTATCTTGTCTGTAGCCCCCTAAGACTAGGTAACTCTCATTCATTGTCGTATCCTTGGTGCCTGTCTCAGTGGTTGGCTCTTGGCAGAGACCCAGGAACTAACTGTTGAACAAGTGAATGGAGGGAGGACTGAGTGTTGGGGACTGTTGGGAACAAGGGGGACGGTGTTGGGAACAAGGGGGACGGTGCTGACCTTCCAGGAGCACATTCTCCAGCCGCTCTGCAGAGCCGAGACCATGAGTGTGGAGACAGACCGGACGGCCGTCTGAGGCAGCCGCAGCAAGGATCGGCCCCTATGGCCCAGCTCCGGCCCACCTGTTGTGTTGGCCAGCACACAGGTCTCAGATACCTTGAGGGGCTCATCCATCTTGAGGATCTCATCCATCTTGAGGAACTCATTCACCTCAGTAGACTCAATAACCTTGGGGAACTCATCTATTTTGGGAGGCTCAGCCTCTTTAGTTGGCTGGACTTCTTTGGGGGTCTCAGTCATCTTTAAAGGCTCAGCCGTTTTGGGGGGCTTCTCCATCATTTTCAACACATTCTTCTTGGAGTCAGGGTGTTCCAGGATGGATGCCTTAGCTTTGTTTCTCCAGGACAAAATCTAAGAACCAAGATATGAAGAGCAGAGACACCAGTCAACAGAAAGGAAGACACAGAGAGACTTGGGATGAGGGAGTGAGTTTCATGGCCTCCTCCCCCTCAATACCCTGCCTGACTGTCCCTATCCCCCTCCCTGTTTTGTTTGGTCATAGGAGGAGGGCGGGGGAGGCCAGGTGGGGGACTCCAGCCATGACCCAGGGGTCAGTGACCAGCACCTCATCCCAGCATGTCATGAGGACAAGGGAGTCTCTGAAACTCACCCAGCAAGACACCTTCCGCCAAACCCATCGGAAGAACCTCACGACCATGGCCATCTCTGCTGATGTGATGACTCAAAGTGGGGGCAGCGCCAGCAGGTGGTACAAGCTGTCACCCAAGGGGTCTCGTAGGAACTGAGGAACTTCAAGTATAGCAGTGAAGAAAGGCATGGGGGATCCAGGAGAGAGCTTCCCCCAGTGACCCATCCTAGGCCTTTCCTCACTCCTCGGAACAGCGAGCGGAGTCCAAGTGGATGAGAACCCAGAGGGAGGGAGGGTTCTAGACCATTGTGAGAGCTCACCGGGCCTCGACCTCAACCCCCAAGGGCCCTTCAGGACCCAGGAAGCCAATCCTTTATGCCCTTCACCCTTCCTTCCCAGATTACTGAGTGTCTGTTATGTGGTAGACATTTCCCCATATCATGTCATGTAATTCCCACAACAGCCCTTCATGATAGATATCGTCAGCGTCATTGTATCATTGTCCGAATCCGAGATTCCGAAAAACCAAAGAACCTGGCCCAGGTCCTAAATCTAGCGAGGTATGGACAGGAAATCCATACAGGTCCTTCGCCAGGAGTCCAGCTTTGCCTCGGTTCCCTCCAGTCTTGGGGGTGAGGGCCCTTCTGCCCCTTCCTTCTAAGGCTTTCCTCCCCTTCTCCACTAGATGGCGCCCTTCGCCCTACCTGCTTCTACTGCCACCTAGGCAGGGAGGTCCTGGGACTGGAGCCCACAGGGAGGGGCCTGCTCACCACAGGGCCTGTCCTCAGCCAACTGAGGGTGGAAGCCACGGCGGCCAGCCAGGCCTGGCGAGGGCACGGTGTGCCCGGGGAGCCTGGCTCACACCCAGCCCCAAGACAAGGGGCCCATTCAGGGTCCCTCGCCCCGCCCCCAAGCAGCCACCCGGATCCAGCCCGCAGAGGGGACACACTGGGAAACTGGGGGGTGGATCCTGCATAATCACCAAAGGCTTCATTGTTTCCCCCTCCGCCCCAGCACGTGGGCACCCCACACACTCTCTCTCTCTCTCTCTCTCTCACACACACACACACACTTCTCTGCCTCTCCTCTTATGTCTCTTCCCAGGACCCAAGCTGTTCCTACATCTCCCTGTCCCTACATCTACATCTCCAGTGGCCACGTTAAAGTTCCCCAATCAGGACAGGCTCTCCGGGGGAGCTCACGCCTAGGCCTTTCCTCCTGCAAGGGGAAACTACTGGCCCAGAACCCCAGCCTTGACACAGCAAAGAGATGCCGGCCCCAAAATTCAAGTTTCTTCAGTTTTTTAATTATAATTATTACGTTAATAACAACCTGAATCCCAGAACTTCCAGATATTTTCTGTTCTCTCTCCCCTGGGCCAACGAGACAGGGCACTGCTTGGGAACAAGTGGGGAGTGGGTGTCTGCCAGGGAGCCTCCAACTCCCCCGAGCCATCTCCTGCTGGGGGTCCCAGAACACTGACACCAAGGGAGGGGCAAAGGGGAAGCAGGGATCCCTCATCAAGGAGGGAGCCATCTAATACCCCATGTGTGTGACCTTCCCTCTTCCATCAAGGCCTGTGGACACTTGGCCCAGACCCTGGGAACTATGGGAAGATGAAGGCAGGGCTGGGGGACAGGCCGATACTGAGCCTTGAACTCCCATCCTCAGGGATCAGGAGGCATTAAAGCTGCATAGGAAGAGGGGGCTGGCCTGGCGACGGTGGCAGCCCCCGAAGGCACATTGTGAGGGAAAGGAGGCTGCTCAGATGGAGGGCCCGTTGGGCGCAGGGGGCCCGAGCCGCGGGAGCCCTGAGGCCGGCAGCTGAGCCAGCTGCTCGGGGCCGGCCAGGGCGCGCAGCAGTCCGTTCTCCTGCTCCAGCGCGGCGTTCCGCTCGGCCAGCTCCCGGATCTGCTCCTTCAGCACCTCCACCTCCTCCCGGACCGCAAACATGAGGTGGGACTTCACCAAGTCCTGGGGACCCAGGGACACGTAGAGCGTGGGCCCCAGGCCACCCCAACCTCATCCCCTGCCCCGTGCCTTGAGGGCCTGGGTGGGAGAGACTTCCTGCTCCCAAAAGATGAGGGGACCCTGGGGAAGAAGCAAAGCAGGAGAAGGGCAGGGGGCAAGGACTCAGGGACAGAGGTAGAGTCAGGGCTCCAGGGCAGAGATGGGCAGCCTGGGGCTAAGTCATGATCAAGGGAAGTCAGGGGTTCAGGTGGAGAAAGCAGAGGCCAAAGGATCTAACAGCATACAGCTGGCAGTCGGTGGAGGAGCTGGGAGTTAGAAACGCTCTAGTAATAAGGAGAACAGGGGCAGGGCAGAGGGGTCGCTAAAGAGGGCAGCTGCCTGAACGTCCACACACAGAGCCTGGACCTCCTGAGACCAAGACGCCTTCTCTTACCATGGCTTGTTCGATCTTGTTGTCAATGCCAACCAGGCTTCCGGAACCACTGGAGAGACACAAGGAGGTGAGAGAGGAGGAGGAGCAAGGGGCACCAAGCCAGGCCAGGCCACCCTCAGCCCCCCTGCCCACCCAGATGCTCCCTGGAGCAGACTGTGGCCTCAGACAAGTCCCTTTCTGCTGCGTCCTCTTGCCCACGCCCCGCCCGTACCTGTGACAGTGAAGAATCAGGGAGAGGAGCGTTTTATCCATCCCCTGGCAGAGTGAGGGCCGCTGCCCAGGCGCCCCGAGGCCCCAGTGGGGTGGCGTTCGAGATGCCCCCCGGATGGGGGATGCTCCTCGAGGGGAGCAAGGGGAGGAGACACAGCCCCTTTTTCGGGGTGGTCCCGGGGCCATCCCCACCACTCGGGTCTCATAAGAGGATACCAGGGACTTAACAGAAACCCCCGGCTGGGCCATCCCTGAGGTGCAAGGGTCTTTGGGCCACCCAAAGAGAGATGGCTCGGTCCGAAGGAGTGCCTGGGGGGCTCAGAGCCCCCCGGGCAGAGCGGGGCCTGATGGGTGCCAGACAGGCAGAGAGGAGACAGTGTGTTAGGGGTGCCGCTCTAAAAGATATACACCGCCCCCCCACCAGGGCCAGGCCTGGCTGCTATTGGTTCCTCAGGGACACGGGGACCCCCTCCCATCGGCCCCACAGTGGGCGGGAATTCCCAGACGAACAGTGCCAGTGTCCCCTTCTCACCCTGGCGCCAGTCCCAGAGTGGAGGGGAGGGGGCCAGCTGAGGGAAGTCAGCTGGTGGCCCGGCTGGCCTCCAGCTCCAGGAGGGGCTGTGGGACAAGAGGCTGGTGTGTGTGGGGGGGGTTTCGGATGTGAGAGTAAGGAAAAGCCTGGCCCCAGCAGACCCCACCCCCAGCCCCAGCCAACCCCACTTCTGACTCCAGCCTGCCCCCTCTGGACTGACTCCGGCCTCCTACAGCCCTTCTCAGCTGGGGTGTGGGGAAGGGAGTGGAGGAGATGGTGGGCGTGGGAGGTTTCTGATTTAGTTATGGTCTTCCTTGAACTCTGAACGCTATGCCATTTAACACAAAGCCTGTATCATGAATGACCCTAGGATGCCCCACCTCTCATGGAGGGGGGTGAGGAGGAATGGGAAAGGTTACCATGACAACAAAAATAGAAACTAGAGCCCTACAAGCCAATTATAGCTTTTGGCACCCAGCTCTGGGGTCTTGGAGGGAGAAGAGCTTGAGGAATGATAGGCCGGAGGTGGGGCACTGATAATAGAAGCAAGGGCTTTGGTAGAAGACATCTGGGTGCTAGATGATAAAGAGGGCAGGTTGTGGCTGCAGTTTGCCAAACGGCCACCAGAGGTCGACTCAAGCCTGACTCAATGGCCTCCAGGCTGCTGCAGGTCTCCCGGTCCTAGAACCTGGCTCTCCCTCAAGCCAGCCTCTCCCTGGCCCCAAGGCCTCCACAGACCTTTGTGTCCTGCCGCATCCTCCAAGACTCCCTTTCACCACCACTGTCGTCATCCCATGGCTTATGCTTCTCTCTCACCCCAGCTTCTGCCTCTATCCCCACTGTACTACAGAATCCTGTCCTCTAGCCCCCAAGCCTCACCCTTCTTGGAATGGGGGCCCCCAACACGCTGCATACCCTGCCCCTGTGCTCCCTTGTCAAGCCCTCCCTCCAGGCTGACAGCTCCAACCTGCTTCCCAGTAAGGGAATCAGCACTCAATTCAAGGTGACCCTTGGATGAGGCCCTGCAGCCAGAAGGGAGCACGAGGGAGCTGGGAATTTTCCATTTCCCGCCCAAGTTCTGGGTGCAGAAGGCGCTGACAGGTGGGGGCCAGGAGCAACCAAGGGGATGGCCAGGCCTGAGAGAGAAGGAAGGGGCAGGTGGGGAAAGACGGCTTGGCAACTCCTGGCAGGGAGGGAGAAGACAAGTTTAAGGAGCAGAGGGCCAGCCGGCCAGCAGGAGAGTCACAACAGTTTTCAAGCTATTTCAATACTAGGAGGCATGACACTGGCCCCTAATACACACAGACACAGAGAGCCCAGAAGGGTGCTTTCAAAGGACTACGAACACCGGCTTTGCTTTAGCTGACACTTGGGTGGAACACCAAGTTGTTCGTCCCTGCCAGTAATAAAGGAACAATAATAATGCAACAATAAACATTTGTTGGATGACTGATGACAATCTCCTGTTTGTCTAGGACTAAGAGTTTTGAAAACACTTTTCCACTATCACGCTCTAACATTACCACTTCAAAGGCCCAGGACTCTTAACAGAGAAAGAAAACCCCTGCTGTCAGTCTGACTGTAGGCACTGTTGGAAACCCCAGGCAGGGTCAGGAGCTCAGAGCCAGGTAAAAGGGATTGGCCCTCAAAAGGCCCCAAGGCAACTTTTTGCGAAGTAGAATGAAATGCCCATTCAAGACACTTATTGCCATCCTCCAGAAAACTGTCATGACCCTGACTACAAACGTGAGTGGCGCCCCCTGGAATTGTGTAATGCCTGACCTGCACAACTAACAACCCAGCTCTGCAGGACTTCTGGGCCCTAGGGTGAGGACAGCTCTGGAAGGTGGCCTTCCTCCCTGAAGGTCAAATAAAACAGTTTCAAAATGAGGATCAGATGAAGCAGCAGGACCTCTGGGAGAGGTGGCGAGGTTCTGATCCTGGGGACAGGGGCCAGCCCTACTCCCTGGCTGTGTTCTAAGGAGCCCCCGGGGGCAGGGCCCGAGGCCAACAAAGTGGCATCCACACACTCCCTCCCGGATCTTTGGTGCCTTTGGGGCGGGAGCAGGCAGGGAGGAGGGCTGGCTCTCTGCCCCATTGGAAGAGCTGTCCCAGCCTCTGTCCTGGTGAGAAAGGGCATCCTGGAGCCCGTGGCCTCTCCCTGGGTTGCCTCCCCTTCTCTTGAGCAACAGCCAGCCATCTCAGGAGGAGAGTGAACAGATGTGGCTTTGGGTTAGACCCAGGCTCCTATTCCAGTCCTGCCACTTACTAGCTGGGTGACCTTGGTCACATTTCTAAAATCCTCCTTCTCTGAGTCTTAGTTTCTTCATCTGCAAAGTGGGTATCGCAGGAAAGGATTCCGTAAGAGAGCACCTGACCCAAAGGGTGAATACCGCACCCCAGCTGCCATCCTGGTGACGCTAACCCGCTACCTGTCAGCATAGAACTGTCCTCCATAAGGCTTTTCAGTGGCTGATTTTTCAGAAGGAAATTGCCAACACTTTTTTTCCCAAGGAGCCTCTGTGGTGAACTCAAACTGCCAACCTTTAGGTTGGCAGCCAAGCATACTAAGAGTATGAGCCACTCAGGTGTTCCAAAGGATAAATAAATGTACCTTCCCCTCACACACACCAAGTCCCAGTTATCCGTTCCCTATAATGCCTGGATCCTGCACAGTGGCTACCAACTCACTCACTCATCCACCCTTCCATCCACCCACCCACCTACCAAGCCACTCACTTATTCAGACTTTACCAAGTGCCTGCCATCTGCTAGGGGCCACCAAGGTCCTTGGACCCAGGAGCAAGTGAGCAGTGTCAGTTCATCAGGCACCCTGTGTTCTGCAAGCCCCAGTTACAGGTTCTAGGATTGGTCAGGTATCCCCAACTCCCCATCTGGGGTCCAGGCACTTCACACTCCAGCCCACTTTCCTCTCAAAAGGGAGCTTCCACGCCACTAGACCTTGTTCTCCTGCCAGCTCCAGGCCCCCAGGGGGACGAGGTGGGGTCTACACGCCCCATTCCTTGGGAGGGGGGATACGTGGCCCAACCCAAACCCGCTGGCCCAGCAGGGTGGGGCCAGAGCAGGGGAGCCCTGAAGCTGAGAGTGGGGTGAAGTGAAGTGGCGGCTGGGAGCCGGACCGGTCAGACTGGGGTGTGTGGAGGGGGTGGGAGCAGAAGGAAGGAGGGGATAAGCCAAGAGAATTGAGCTGATGAAGCTTCTGGAGGCAGAAGACAGAGAAAGCAGGAGGCTGGGCTATGAAATCAGCAGGCATGGGGGAGGAACAGCAGTCCTCTTGCCAGGGAACCTCCCAAGTAGGAGGGGGAAAGGGTGGGAAGGGCTGAGAATAGCAGTACTGGGGGCAGGTGACTCTCCAGGCCCTGGCAGACCTTACACCTCACACATTTCCCGAGAGCTAGAGTCCAGAAGCTGCCTGGCCCTGTTTGGCTTTGTCCGTTCTCCACAAAGCCCCCTACCAGGCCCCTGGCCCTCCATCCTTCTGTCTCCTGGCCACCCCATTCTCTATCCTCTCTTGTCCCTGCCCCCTCCAATGCCTGTGGCCCTTTTCTTTTGTGAGACTCAGTCTCTGATTCGAGAGGTGGGGCCACATTAGGGGAAGGCAGAAAGGAGGGACTCCCATCTGGAACAGGTCCCTCCAGCACCCACTCACTTGCTAAGTTCCACCCCTTAGTGCCTTCCAAACAGGAAGTCCCTCCCCTTGAGGGCCGCAAACCGGAAGTCCCACTCCTCACTCCAGAATGAAAAGTGGTGACTCCCCAAGTCCTTCTCCCTGGTTCTCGTCAGTCCACAGTCACAAAAGAGCAGCCTGGCTACCTGACTCACGATTTGATTCCTCCCTTTTCAGCTCGCTGACGTTCCTGTTAAAACCTTGAAACAGGAAAGTCTGCCAGCCAGACAGGGCATTCTTCCCAAAAGTGCAACCCAGCCTGCTCTCCTCCGCCTTCCCTGCTCCAATTCAGCCATCCTCTCCACAGCTCCCCCATGGTGCTCCTAGTTCTGCCTGCTGGCCACATCCACCCAGGAAACAGAAGCTAGAAATCCTAGGGTCCCAAAGCAGTCCATGCAGATGGTAAGGAGTTACCTCTAAAAGCAAGGGGCCCATTCCCCTCATTGAAAATTGGAAGGGGGAGAGGGGGTGGGAACGGGGAGGTCCTTATTAGTCTCAGACTCTTCATTTGCCCATAAGTTCTCAGGGTTGGCCAGGTGATCTCTAAATCTGCGACAGCTCTGGAATGTGACAACAATGACTCCCTTCAAACTCTAAAAAAGTCTATGATTTGACAGCCCTAAGCCAGAGAGTCCCACCCAGCTCTCTCCACAGAGAGGGAGTGGGTCCCAGATCAACAAACCCAGTGGTTATGCCCAGGCCAGGCTTCTCTGTTTAAGAAGTCCCCTCCAAGCTCAAGGTAGGGGAAGAACACCTACCAGGCAGCTCATGCAGCTACCCCAGGCGCTGGGTGGGGAGCCTAACCTCACGGCCCACCACGTGAAGCCACCTACCTATCATCATCACTGTCCAAGTGGCCACTGATGGCCAGCATGGAACGGGCCAGGCTGAGGCTCTGGGCTGTCGCTGCTCCAAAGGGGTCCGGGGACTTGTGAACCAGACCGGTGTCAGAGAAGTACAGGGCTGGGGAGCTGGGGTGGGAGTCGAACGGGGGTACCTGGAGGCAGAGAGATAGGCACCGTCATGTTGAGAAAGGAACCAGCCACCTGACAACTGGCCTCCTAGTCTTCCTCCCTCCCTTTCACCCAAGGACCCCAAGAGTCCTGCCTCTGAGCCAGTACCCCAAATCAGAGGCTAGTCAGAGTCTTTTAACACCTGACATCTCAGTGAGGTTCAAATGTCACTCCTCAGAGACATTTCCTCCATCATCCACTAGTCCACTGAGCTGTTTTATGTTTTGAGAGCTCTTAACATTATCTAAAATGAAAGTTATTTTTTGTTTCCCTGCTGGAAGGTAAGCGTCAGAGGGGCAGGGCTTCAAGTTGGTTTAGCAGCTATTTGTAGAATGAATGAATCCTCAAAAGCTGGTCCTCCTCCCCACCGTTCCAACCTCTCCCCTCAAACTTCTCAGGACCCAGGTGAACCTCTGCGGTTCCCTGCCCTGGTGTATGTGTGAGGGGGGAGGCAGTTTCAGAGATGGGAGAGGCGGGGCCTGGGCGTGGACCCACACAGCCCAACAGGCACAGGGGGGCGGCTGCGAAAGGGCGGGGGTGACAGGAACAAGACGCCTCTGTGAGGCCCTGGGAGGCCCCAGCTTCTCGGAAAAGCCAAGAACAGTGAGTCCAGGGTGGTTAGGAGGACGGAGCAGAGGAAGGGGGCCCAGGTGCTACCCTTGACCCTCCGGCCCTGCTCCCCACTTCCCACCTCTGCGAGTGGCAACTGACTGGGCAGAGCAATTGAGGGCCACAGAAAGGAGACCAGGCTTTTGAGCAGAGAAACAATCACAGGGTCGCAGCAGCAGGAAGGGATCAGGAGGTGGAAGTGGGGAGTATTTCAGAAAGGGGGACAGGGTCTGAGGGCCCAAGGGAAGCCCAAGCATGGCTTAGAGAGAGAGGCTGGAGACAGAAAGGGGTTGCTTTGAAAGTAACAATTCTGGGGTCAGTAAAGGGAAGCCTATCAACTCTCCTGGGGTAGAAGCTGGATGCAAGACGCCAAAAGAAGTAAGGGGGCAACGTGAGAGATGTGCGCTTGAGGCCAGGAGTGGGGGGGGGGGCGATCCTGACCCGTCCTGACAGGGCCCAGACATCCAGTCTTAGGTTATTTTTATACTGTGGTTTGTGTCCAAGGCCAAGAAGGGGGAAAAATTCTCATCTTCACACTTGCAGCCCAAGGTGTTATTTTCTTCTTTCACAGAAACATCCAACCCCCATATCCCAAGCTGCCCACACCACCCCCAGGGACCCAGGCATCCCGGCCTCCCCCCCACACACACACACACACACTTGTTCCTCTTTTGGAGACAGGAAGCAGAAATAGCATTTGATTTAACTCTTTCTCTCTGGCTTCCCACCTTTCCCCAAGGAGGCTGACAGGCCAAGGTGGCCACCCCCTGGAGAGAGACCTAAGGACTGGAGGTGGAGAAGGCAAGCCAACAGACCTTCTATTCCTGAAATGTGGACCCCAACCCAATTCTGCAGGAAGAAAAGCTCGACTTGGGTCAAAGCTGAAAATGGGGCTGAGATGGGGTGGGGGTGGGGGCGTCAGTGGGAAAATAGAAGCACCCGCATTTCAGGATGGCGCTGGCATGGAAAGGAGGGGCTTACAGTGGAATGCCTACTTTGGCCCCTTCCCCCCAAAACCCTGGCAGCTCCTCCCTCAAAGCCCCAGCTATCCAGCACTGCTGCGGCCTCCACCCTCAGTTCCTGGAGTCAAAGTGAGACCAAGAGAGAGAGTGACGGCTAATGTCAGGGCCACAGAGATGACAAGGCTGGGACTGGATAGTAGAGATGACAGACAACAGCAACAATGAAAGATCAAAGAGACAGAAAGAAGATGTAGGGATAGGGAGAGAGGGAACCCTGGACAGACCAACCACACCAGCATGGTAGGAACCGGAGCAGACGTCCATGTGAGCTGGCAGGAAAAGGAAGGAAGGGCTACTGAGCAGACAGAAGACAGTGGTGGGGAGGGGAGGCGCAGGGCATCGTGGATGCAGGAAGCCAAGACTGAGATGGTTGAGCACCGCCCCCCTGGTGTCTCTCTCACCTTGGGACCCGCTCTTACCTGCCCTGTCTCCTCAGGAGCCATGAACTCCACCCTCAGCTGCAGGGCTCCATCCTTCCTCCGGGCAGGTGGAGGAGTGCCTACGGCTGAGCTCCTGGGCTCCATTTCCACCCTCAGGGAGGGCAGGGGCGTGGAGGTCCAGGATGTGCCCTCGTTATCCCAGGTTCCGGGCTCTGGGGGGCGCTGCTGGGGTGGGGAGGCGGACGAGGGGGGCGTCTCCACCTTGGCCTTTCCGGGTACCACCATCTGGCCCAGTCCCCCGGTGAAGGAGCGGGCCTGAGGTCCTGGTGAGCTGGGGGGCGGGCGGAGCCAGGAGGTGGGGCCCGGAGACAGGCCTGGCTGTGGAGTGGGGGCGCCCAGGCCCAAGCTGGCCAGCTCCAACCTTGAATCCAACGACCTGCCCCCGGTGCCTCCCGAGGCCCCACGAATTCCCTCCAGGAGCCGGCCGAAGCTAGGGGGCTCCAGGTCTCTCTCGTAGACATCCACACACGTCCACCGACCTCGGCGATAGGGCTCTCCCAGGCCGTGGGGCAGCTTCACCACCCGGAAACGGGAGGCTGGGGCCCCAGGAGGCGGGGAGCCGTTCCGGGGGGTGCCCTTGCCCCCTGGCTCAGGGTTGGGCTCCCCGTTGGGCAGGCGGGGTGGGGGCCTGGAGGGGGCTGGTGGGACAGGGGGTTCTGCCTCCCCTGGGCTCCCTGGGCCCTCATAGTCCGTGGTGACGCTGGTGATCTGGAAACTACTCTTCTTCTTGCCCCCACTCATAGTCCCTGGCGCTCAGGACTGGGCCGAGGTGGGCGGGGGGCAGCTGGAACTCCTCTCAGAGGCTCAGGCGCCCCGGGAACAGGGAGGCCACATAGCGGGGGCATCAGGGCCCCTGGGGACGTCAGGGTCCGACATGGCAGGAGGGCCTTGGGGAACTGGGGGTGCCTGGTTGGAGAAGGGAGAACGGGGTAGGGAAGGGGGAGGGGAGGGAGGGGCAGGTTTTTCCTGCTGCAGCCGCTATCGAACTCCAAAGCTGAGTTTGCAAACTGGAAAAAGAGAGAGAGAGAGATAGAGTGAGTGTGTGTGTGAGCAAGACAGAGAGGGAAAGCAGTGGGCAGGCCGACTCTAGGGCTTCCTCTCTGGGGAGCCTGGTGAGGGAGGAAGGGGAAACCACCAGAGACACCCAGAGACAAAGAGACAGACAGAGACGGAGCGCAGGGGACGGCAATTCCAGCCAGTGCCCTCACAGCAGGCAGATGTGCCTAAAGTTTGGCACTTACTGCCTGGGATTCCAACTCACAGGACCCGAACTCGGGAGCCCTAGAGCAAGGTGTCCGGGGCCTAGGTGAACCCCGGTGAAGCAGCTCAAGGCCCGGGACCCCAGCTCTCACATCTCTGGGGCTGAGACCCCTCCAGCAGGCCCTGCCCTGCCCTCCCTCTACACCCCTCGCCCCAGCGCCCCGCCCAGCCCAGAGCCCTACCTTTCTCTCAGCCCGAGCTGGGGGTCCCCGCGCCTAAGATGTCGGGTGGTCCTTCCCCTGGGGCCTCTGGCCCCGGTAGTGTGGGAGCAGGCGGCGATCAGAGGCTGCCCTGTCCTCTTCGGGGTGCGCACCTCACCCCACAAAGCATCTCTGAGGGAAGTTTGCGCTCCAGAAAAGCAGGAACCTCCACCGTGGAGCTTAGGCGCGGCCTCTGAAGCCCCTAGGGTCTCCCGAGCTAGGTGGTGGGAGGGGGCGGCTCGCCCGCCCGCTTGAGATAGAAAGCCTCCCCCTTGGGGCAGTCGGCCTCCGTGGTCTCGGCGAGTGGGTGTCCCAGGTCTCCCGCGTGGCAACGCTGGGTCTGTCTCCGGTGCTCAGCTCCTCTCGCTGTCGGTCCGTCTCTCTCTTTCTGGGCTGTTGACAACCCCCACACCAGGAAGTCCTGCCTCCTCGGGCCTGCTGACTGCTCTTCTCCTCCTTCCCCTCTTCCTCCTCCCTCCCTCCCGGGGATCCCGGCCAGCTGGCCCCGGGCCAGGCCTGCCACTGCCGCCGCGGCTGTTGCAGTTGCTGCTGCTGACCCTGGGGCCCCAAACGGGCTCCCTTAACCCCACACCTGCTGGGTCCTAGCCCAGCGCTTCCTGGGAGGGAGGCGCTGTGGAAGGCGGAAAGAAAGGGGAGGAGTTTGCAGACAGGCAAGGGATTCCCTTACTTGTAGGCAAATGCAGCCATTGGCCTACAGACGCACAGCACAGTCGGAAGGAACAGACCAGGCGCTGTATTGGGTGCCTGGTACCCCAGAAGAGCCTAGTAAAACTCATGACGCTGGTGTAGCTGCTATTAATCATACCTTCTTTGGCTTTCACAGGAACTGTATGAGGAAGGTACTATTAACCACCTGCCCACCCCTTACTTTCAAAAAAGGAGCTCTGGTGGTGGCATGGTGCCTAAAACATTTGATTGCTAACCAAAAGGTTGGCGGTTCAAACCCACTGGCCACTCTGCGGAAGGAAAACTGGACAATCTACTTCCCTAAAGGTTTACAGCCTTGGAATTTCAATCCGGGTCGCTATGAGTTGGAATCGACTGGGCGGCAGTGGTTTGGATTTTGGTTTGGTTATTTCAAGAAGCGTATTATGAAAAATTATAAAATTTTGTAAAAATTTATAAAATTTTTCGTGCACAAAAATAGAGAATTGTATTGTCTCATCCGGTGCTGCTGTAACAGAAATACAAGTGGGTGGCTTTAGCAAGCAGAATTTTATTTTCTCACAGTTTAGGAGGCTGGAAGTCTGAATTCAGAGTGGCGACTCTAGGAGAATGCGCGCTCTCTCTGTGTTGGCTCTGGAAGAAGGTCCCAGTTTCTTCAGCTTCCGCTTCCTGGTTCCTGGAAGACCTCCATGTGTCTTGGCATGTGTCTTATCCTATCTCTGCTGGCTTGTTTAATCTTTTTTTATATCTCAAAAGAGATTGACTCACAATCCTTGCTCCGCTTGAGCCCATCACTGCAGCCACTGTGTCAACCCATCTCATTGAGGGTCTTCCCCTTTTTCGCTGACCCTCCACTTTAGCAATCATGATAAGGAGCATGGAAGTGGCAGCCAAAAAATCAAACGATGTATTGCACTGGGAAAATATGCCGCAAAAGATCTCCATAAAGTATTAAAAAGCAAAGCTGTAACTTTGAGGGCTAAGGTGCACCTGACCCAAGCTATGGTATTTTCAATCACCTCATATGCATGTAAAAACTGGACAGTGAATAAGGAAGACTGAAGAGAGATTGCCTTTCAGTCCATGTCAAATATACCATGGACTGCCAGAACATGCTGTCTCATGCTTTGGACATGTTATCAGGAGGGGCCAGTCCCCGGAGAAGGACATCACGCTTGGTGAAGTAGAGGATCAGCGGGAAAGAGGAAGACCCTCAAAGAGATGGATTGACACAGTGGCTGCAACAATGGGCTCAGACACAGCAACGGTTGTAAGGATGGTGCCGGCCCAGGCACTGTTTTGTGCCATTGTGCACAGGGTCGCTATGAGTCGGGGCTGACTTGATGGCACCTAACAGCAACAAGCATTTCCCCAGGGAGAATCTGTTGGTATGGTTTGCTTTCTATAAATAATAGTAATGGCTTTCACTTTGCCTACACTGTGTAATTGTCTCATGTATCTGCTTGATCACAGATGAACATAGCACCATAAAATAGTTGATGCCAGGGGGCGTATCTCATTCCTAACAGTCTGATGTCTGCCTGAAAGTTTGAGGCACAGCCTATCTGCAAGGCATACACTCTCCTATCCCATCAATTGCTATTATGAAGGAGAATCCACACACACTTACCAAGGACCTACCATGTGCTTGGCATGAAAGAATAAATTTCCAACTGTCATTCTGCCTGTCTCTGTCTTTGTCTCTGTCTCTCTCTCTTTCTCTCTTGTGCATGCCTTTTTTTTTTTTTTTAACTCTCCCCCTGAATAAGCATTAAAGCACAAGACAGTGTATTCTAACTCATTTTCATCAGAGGGAACTGGTCTCAAGTACATTAAAAATTCCTCACATCTATTCACTATAGCTCATGGGATATTCAAAACAGCCCTGGGAGGAGACGGGATGGGTTTTGAGCTCTGGTGTTTCCACTAGGGAAACTGAGGCTCAGAGACGTTGGGTCACTTATTCAGCACCTGAGAGCTAGTATTTGATGACTGAGGCCACCCCTGGGCTTTCAGACTCCCAGTCCAGGACTCCTCACATCATCTCTCTCTTTCCCACATCCCTCCCTCCTCAGCTTTAAACCAAAAACCAAACCCAACCCACTGCCATCGAGTGGATTTCAACTCATAGCAACCCCCACTGGGTTTTCAAGGTGGTCAATCTTTTCGGAAGTAGATTGCCCAGTCGTCTTTCCATGGAGTGACTGGTGGGTCTGAACCACCAATCTTTTGGTTAGCAAATGCCTTAGGCACTGCCACTGTTTACCAAAACAAATAAAAACCCAACTGCCGTCCAGTAGATTCTGAATTATAGTGACCCTAAAGGACAGAATAGAATTGCTCCCTGCCCATAGGGTTTTCAAGACAGAAAATCTTTATGGAAGCAGACTGCCTCATCTTTCTCCCACAGAGCAGCTGGTGAGTTCAAACCACCAGCCCTTTTGTTCACTGCCCAACGCTTTAATCACAGCGCCACCAGAGCTCCTTAATCACTCTTTAGCGTTGGGCAAAAAATAAAACAACAAAACTCTCGTTTATATATTCATTCTTTATTTGTTGATTATAATGAATCTGGACCCTTGCCTCTCTTCCTGTAGCTGTGGTAACAATGGCTACCATCCTTAGCAGAGTCATGAGGTCTCCTAAGTCTTGAGGTCCCTGGAGTAGCCTCCACTTGCCAATTCCCCACCCCTCTGTCTCTCCTAAGAGCTCTGGTAGCATAGTGCCTGAGGTACTTGACTGCTAACCAGAAGGCTGGCGATTCAAACCCACCAGCCACTCCTCGGAAGGAAGGTGGGCAATCCTACTTCTGTAGTGATACTGCCTCGGAAACCCAAGGAGGGATCCCTATGAGTTGGGTCTGACTTGAGGGCACATAACAACAACAATTGTCTCTCCAACTTTCTCCCCTCTGGCAACATTCAGAACACAACCTTGCCTGCCCTGGCCCCAGCCCTCCTTTCATCACCAACACTGCTTATCTTTGGACTCTCCTGCAAGACTGTGAGCAACAGCCCCTTCCCACCCCCTCAGAATAAGAAAGACTGAAGAAGAGTTGATGCTTTTGAGTTGTGCTGTTGGCGAAGAATGCTAAAAGTACCGTGGACTTCTAAAAGAACTAACAAATCTGTCTGGGAAGAATTGCAGCAGGAATGCTCCTTGGAAGCAAGAATGGCCAGACTTTATCTCACCTACTTTGGTCATGTTGTCAGAAGGGACCATTACCTGGAGGATATCATGCTTGCTAAAGTGGAGGGTCGACAAAAGAGGGGAAGGCCCTCAACAAGATGGATTGACACAGTGGCTGCAATGCTGGGCTCACGTATAGCAAGGATAGTGAGGCCGGCACAGGACCCAGCAATTTCATTCTGTTGTGTGTAGGGTTGCTATGAGTCAAAGGCGACCCACCCTGCACCTAACAACACAGCAACAACCCCCTCAGACACTGGGTTTCTCAGACTCTGCCCCAGTTCCGCAGTCCATGGCACCCAGTAGGTCTCCCTTGAAAAGGAATAAATACAAATTCACTCACACTAAGGCGTAAATAAAGGAGCTCTGGCGGCATAGTGCTTCAGGCATTTGAGTGCTAACCAGAAGGTTGGCTGTTCAAACCCACCAGCCACTCCAAGGAAGGAAGACTGGACAATCTACTTCTGTAAAGATTTACTGCCTCGGGGTCGCTTTGAGTCGGAATCAAGTCGCTGGCAGTGAGTTTTTTTTTTTTTTTAGTTTTTAAGGTGTAAATAAGGAGCTCTGGTGGCATAGTGGATAAGAGATTTGACTTAACCAGAAGGTCGGGGGTTCAAACCCACCAGGTGTTCCGCAGAAGATGGGGCGACTACTTCCGTAAAGATTTACAGCCTCAAAAACCCAATGGGCGTAGCTATAAGTCAGAATCGACTTGGTGGCAGTGAGCTTGGTTTGTTTTTTGGTTTAAGGTGTATGTGGGAAATGACTAATAACACTTTAATATGTTACCTCTCCTGGGGGCGTTTATAATACCCTTAAAGTGTGAAGTCCTTTTGTAAACGTTATTCCAGTGATCCCTCCCACTCCAAGCTCTGTTAAGGTGGGTAACAGGATAAGACACTTCAGAAAGGTTGCTTGATTTGCGCAAGGTCACACAGCCAGTTAACGGAAGAACTGAAGTCTTCTTGCAGTTAATTTACTCTAAGAAGAGCCGCGCGCCAAAGCGATTTCCAAGGAAGTAATTTCTCAGGGAACTGACTAGGAAGGTGACTGAAGGGGAGGGGCCTGAAGTTGCAACCTTCAGCCGCCGCCACGACCACACCCGGGCTTAAGGCCGCGGTGGCCTTAGGCAGGCGCCCACCATGGCGCGCTCAAGTCCTGGCGGACTGCGCCAGCTAAGTCAAAGGTTATGGGGGCGGATGACTTGGACTGCGCGGGAGGACGGGAGGAAGACTTTGAGCCCAGGCGGCGAAACAAGGTCCCGGCGCCTGGGAGGCTGCAGCGGGAGGAGACCCAACACCAAGCGAGCCAGCTCCCGTGCCCTCCCCCGCACCTGGGGGGCGGCAGGGAAGAGGTGGCGCGGCCAAGAGAGCACGCCCCCTGCTGGGCAGAGGTGCGGAATGTATGGCTCCTGACTTAGAGCCCCTCGGCCAGAAAGCCTCACCCCCCTGCCGGCCTCACCGCCTCACTGCACCCCGGGGCCCGGCAGCCGCAGCCGCAGCCTCGGCTCGGACCCGATGCCGGGTTCAGACCTGGCGAGCGCCGGGCCCACGGGGTATGCGCGTGGGTGCGGGTCCCGGGCTGCCGCTGGGGGGCGCCGCTGCGCGCCGTGCTCTGCTCGCCGGGGTCTAGGAGGCAGAGGCAAGCGTGGCCCGGCCGGGCAGGGGACGAGGGGCGGCGAGGAGCCGACTCTCCTAGGCGGGGGCGGGCTGCGCCGGGCCCCCGGAGCACCAAGACCGTCCCCGGAACCTCCCCCTGCAGGCTCCGCGGCCTCTGCACCTCCCACCCCAGCCTCGCGGCGCGGCGCGGCGCGGCGCGGCGCGGCGCAGCCGCTCCCGCTTCGTCCTTGGAGGGTGTGGAAGGGTGGGTTTGGGGCCGGGGGCGGGTCTGGGGGCGGACCCGGAGGCGGGGCTGTCTCTGCGGCAGGGCCCAGCTCCGCTCCCCCCGGTCTCTCTCTGTCTCTCCTCCTCCCTCCTCCTGCTCCGGGCGGAGCCCGGCATGGGGGGGCCGGCGCCCGGCAGGCCAGGTACGGTGATGTAGAAATTGGGGAGGCTTGGTGCGGGGAGGTGGGGTGGGGGGACAAGGGGCAGGGAGGATTGGCCGGGCGAGAGGCGGAGAAACCTAGGGTAGCAGGACAAGGCGAAGGGGAGGGGTGCCGGGGAACCTGGGGCCTTAGGATGGAGAGGGGGATGAAGCAGGCCAGGTTTGGAATAAACAGGGGTACGGAGAGGACGGCAGTGAGGAGGGGCGGCTGGGAGAGAAGAGAGGCTGAAGATGAAACGGAGCGTGTGTTTGGGGGAAGGGAAGCCAGAGTAGGTATGGAGGCCGGAGCTCTAAGGGTGGCTCAGGGGCCAGGCTGGAGACCCTCGGGTGGGATTGAGGGGCGGGACTGGAAGAGGGAAACGGGGAGCCTCCAATATGCTAGAAGAGGAAGAAGGTGATTTGAGCCATCAGTGAGGGAGTGAGGCGGATACCGTTGCTGGGGGCCAGGGAACTGGGATAGGAGTGGATGGAGGCCCAGGCCCCAAGGACTGGAAGGGGGATGGCAGGGAACAGGATGGAGGGATGAGTGGATGGTGTTTTCAATGGCCCTCCGGAATGCACCCTACCCTTCCTTCAGCACCCTCACTCTGACCTCATCACCGCCCCCCGAGCCTCAGGGCCCAAGAAGGGTTGGGGAGTCCATCTCCCTCTTCCCCAGTGGGGGTGCAATGTACGCAAGTAGGCCCCGGGGTACAACTCCTTGTCTGTAGTTGTGTCCGGTTCTGTGTAGCAGATCTGTGTGTGTGTCTGGATGTGTATGTGTATCTGTGGGTGTGTCAGTGGGTGTCTGTGTCTGTGTGTGTCTGCCTGTTCCTAGGTTAGTTAGTGTTTACCTGGGCTGGTCCTCTGTGTGGAGGTATGGGTTTGTGGCTTGGAGGTTGAATGTGTGTCTGTCACTGCGGGCTTGTTCCACGCTCTGTGTGTGTGTGCGGCCTGTGTACTGTGTCAGAATGAGAATCTGTGTGGACTGAGTCTCTCTGGAGTATGTATTTGTGCCTCTGAACACCTTTGTCAGGGTGTGTCACTCTGTGTCCATCCATCTGTCTATCTGTTGAGTCCTGGAGGTTGCGTTGGGTTTTCTGTCCCTCTTGTTTTCCTCTCTGGAAGGCTACTAGTCATGTCTCTGTGCCTTTTTCTCTCTCATTCATTCCTGCCCTCCCACCCCCACCCCACATCCTTCTTTCTTTTCTCTTTCCTCCCTCCTCACCAAGTGGATCCGGGACCCAGGGAGGGCCGTCCCCCGGGCCTGGTGGCGCTGAGCAGGGCCCCCCAGCCCCCACCTCCTGCCCCACGACATGAACCTGCTGTACCGGAAGACCAAGCTGGAGTGGCGGCAGCACAAAGAGGAGGAGGCCAAGAGGAGGTAAGGCTGGGGGTTCAGGATCGCCCCACCTCAGCACCCCCTTTCTGGGCCACAGCTCATCTACTCCTCCTGGGTCTCAACAGCCTTGTCATCAGCGAGCCTCCCTGAGCTTACCAGGGTCCTGTCCCAGCACAGAGTCGCCGGAACGGCCCCCGCCCTGTTCCCGTTCTGTTCCCTGAGAACAGCCCTGGCACCTGTCCTGGCCCCCCCCAAGGGTTTCTAGCTTGGGACCACCCTGTCTTCTCTTCCTCCTCCCCAGAGGCCCGAATCACTCCTTCCTGACTCACCTCTGGCATGTGGTCTTCTCTTGGTTAATTTGGGACTGGCTTCTGACTCCCTTGTCACCTGACCTTGGAAGGGGCAAACTCTACTGTCCTCATAGGGGCCAGGGAGGTGGTCTTTGGAGGGAGCTTCAGACCTTAGGACCCCTCCCAGTCTCCTCTGCCGGGGAAGTGAGTGGCCCAGCGTCAGGGTCACCTGTGGGGCAACATGCAGACTGAGCTTTCCAGATGAGCCAGGGCTGGGGAGCCCCATCCCAACCCCAGCTGCCCTCTGTCCTTGGCCTCCCAGGGACCTGGGGCCTGGCCTCCTGTCTCGCTCTTCACTCCCATTGACTGCACAGCCTCTTGCAGCCTGAGTCAGAGCCACCTCCTTGCTCCCTTCTCCCTCCTTGCAACTGTGGAGTTTTAATTCTTGTTGTTAATTAGATTAATCAGAGCTATCACTGCAGTGATCACTCCCTAATGAAGGGTTAGTAGACAGGGCCTTAATGAGAGCCCACCCCACAGCAGTTTTCCCCTCTTCCCTGCCAGCCTCTCCCCCTTCACTCACACAGCAGCCCAGGGACGGTGAAAGGGAACAGGGCTGAGCCAGGGAGGGTGGCAGAGGACAGCATGGACAGCTTACAGGGGGTAAGCCTGCGAGTGGTGGTGGGGGTCTCGTGGAGGATGGCAGGGTCAGGGAGCGAATAGGATCAGCCAGGGCAGGCTGCCGTGCCACCGCAGTACTAATGTCTGGGAGAGGAGGAGCTGTGTGGGGGCGTCGGCCACAGCAGCTGGACATGAAGGGAGACCAGAGGCCAGGTGTGGGCCAGTGTGAGCTGAGCAGAGGGGCAGAGCTGTGCTAGCAAGTATAGTTGCCTGTTTAGAGGGGCTCTGGCACCTGGGTTTGCATCCAGTGTGCTGGATATACCTGGCATGGGAAATGCCAGCCCCAGGGACACCCCCTGCGTACGTACTCCCCCTTCCTCCATCCCTGTCCTGATTTCCTGCCTTTTTTTTTTTTTTAAGTCTAGGAATTCATCTTGAAGCCCCCTACATCTGTGCCTTGGACCTTCAAGCTTCCTCTCATCCCCACCCGAGGCTCGTGTCCTCCTCCCTTGGAGGCCACGGGGTCACAAACACCTCTTGGGGTGGAGGAAGGGAAGGCCCCAGTCTGAGGTCTAACTCTGCTCCACCTTGGGTTTTCTCTCTCCAGCTCCAGTAAGGAGGGGGGTCCTGCAGGCCCAGCAGGGCCTGGGACCGGCCCCGGGCCCGGAGTCCGAGTGCGGGACATCGCCTCGCTGCGTCGCTCCCTCAGGATGGGGTTCATGACGATGCCTGCCTCCCAGGAGCACACCCCCCACCCCTGCCGCAGCGCCATGGCCCCACGGTCCCTCTCCTGCCACTCTGTGGGCAGTATGGACAGTGTGGGAGGTGGGCCTGGGGACGGTGGTGGGGGTCTCACGGAGGACAGCAGCACTCGAAGACCCCCAGCCAAGCCCCGGAGACACCCCAGCACCAAGCTCAGCATGGCAGGGTCAGGGGCAGAGATGCCCCCCAGCAAGAAAGCAGGTGAGACACCCCCTACCCCTCCTCAGGTGGAGCTGGGAGCTGGGAAGATCCATTCCAGGCCAGGGGAGGCCTGCTGGGGAGGGTTCATTCAGGGAAGAACCAAGGAAGTGGAAGGTTCCATTCTCAGAGGGTGAGCCTGAGATGAACCATTCAAGGGCAGGGGAAGTTCTTTCTTGGGAAAGGGGTGGCCTTGGAGGGACATGAGACTGGGAGATAATTTAGGGTGGGAATTGTAGATTCTAGAGAGTTTCTTAGAAGTACAGAAAGCTGATTGGTAGAAAAGAAACCTATAAGGGCTGTAAGTTGAGGACTGAGAAAAAATGAAGAGGCAGATAGGTCCTTACAAATGGGTCAAGACTGAAAAAAAAAAAAACCAAACTCATTGCCATCGAGTAAATTCCAGCTCATAGTGACCCGCGCTGGGTCTAAGGCGGTAAATCTTTATGGAAGTAGATTGGCCCATCTTCCTTCTGTGGAGTGGCTGATGAGTTGAACCCCCAACCTTCTGGTTAGCAGTCAAATGCCTTAGGCACTGCACCACCAGAGCTCCTTATAGCTGGGGCAAGAGGTCAGAAAAAGTTCCCCTATTTCCTTGCTCTACTAAAAATCGCATTTATTTTCTCTTTTCCATCCTGTCCAGGCTCACAGAAGCCAATCCCGGAGAGCCGAGAATCTAGCCGGAAGGTTCCGCCACAGAAGCCCAGGAGAAGTCCCAACACCCAGCTCTCTGTCTCCTTCGATGAGTCCTGCCCCCCGGCCCCCTCTCCTCGAGGGGGAAACCTGCCCCTCCAGCGCCTCAGTAGGGGCTCACACATAGCTGGGGACCTCGATGTGGGTGCCCAGGAGGAAGAGCCCGTGTACATCGAGATGGTGGGGGATGTCTTCAGGGGCGGAGGAAGAAGTGGAGGGTGTCTGACCGGGCCCCCTCTTGGGGCTGGGGGCCCAACGCCTCCAGCTGGCCCTGACTCGGACTCTGAAGAGAGTGAGGCCATATACGAGGAGATGAAATACCCACTGCCCGATGAGGCAGGGGAAGGCCGGGCCAATGGGGTTCCCCCACTGACGGCAACCTCCCCACCACACCAGCCTCCGGTCCTTCAGCCCCACGCCCACCGCCGTCCTGCTTCAGCCCTCCTGAGCCGGAGGGACGGGACACCTACCAAGACCACTCTTTGTGAAATCCCCCCACCTTTCCCCAACCTTCTTCAGCACCGCCCGCCTCTCCTGGCCTTCCCCCAAGCCAAGTCTGCTTCCCGAACCCCTGGCGATGGGGTCTCGAGGCTGCCGGTCCTCTGCCACTCCAAGGAGCCAGCTGGCTCCGCCCCAGCTCCCCAAGTGCCTGCACGGGAGCGGGAGACGCCTCCCCCCCCACCGCTGCCTCCTGCTGCCAACCTGCTGCTGCTGGCACCGTCGGGCCGTGCCCGGAGCCACTCGACCCCGTTGCCACCCCAGGGCTCTGGCCAGCCCCGGGGAGAACAGGAGCTGCCTAACTCCCACAGCATGATCTGCCCCAAGGTGGTGGGGGCGCCGGCAGCCCCCCCTGCCCCTGCTGCCTTGCTCCCTGGGCCCCCCAAGGACAAGGCCGTGTCTTACACCATGGTGTACTCGGCAGTGAAGGTGACCACGCACTCTGTCCTACCAGTGGGCCCGCCCCTGGGTGCCGGGGAGCCAAAGACGGAGAAAGAGATCTCCGTTCTCCACGGGATGCTGTGTGCCAGCTCCAGGGCTCCCGTGCCAGGGAAGTCCAGCCCCCACGGCGGGGCCATGGGGGCAGCAGCTGGGGTCCTCCACCACCGAGGCTGCCTCACCTCGCCCCACAGCCTTCCGGACCCAACCGCAGGCCCCCTGACCCCCCTCTGGACCTACCCAGCCGCAGCAGCTGGGCTCAAGAGACCCCCTGCCTATGAGAGCCTCAAGGCTGGGGGGGTGCTGAATAAGGGCTGTGCAGTGGGGGTCCCACCCCCCATGGTCAAGATCCAGCTGCAGGAGCAAGGGGCCGATGGGGGTGCCTTCGCCAGGATTTCCTGTGCCCATGTCATCGCCAGTGCAGGGACGCCAGAGGAGGAAGAAGAGGAAATGGGTACCACAACATTTGGGGCAAGCTGGGCTCTGCAGAGGAAGGTTCTGTATGGAGGGAGGAAAGCCAAGGAGTTGGACAGTGAGTGAGGGGTGGTGAATGGGGGTGGGTAACTGGGTGGTCAGTCAGAGGGGTGTTGGTGACGGTTTGGGGGAGCTGTTGATGGAGCCCTTTGGAAGTTGAAGCCCATTGTCCTGAATGGACGAAGTTTTTCGGAGAGCAGAGGGGTGGGGGTGGGCTGGGTGGGTTGGGGGCAGTGCCCTTCTGCTTGTCCTGCTCTGCTCTCTGCCCCACCCCTCCCCAGGCTGCAGGAGTGTGATTGGGAGTGTGCACACACTAGGAGCTAAACACAGCTGCCTCCCAGCTGTTACCATGACAACTCATCCAGACAGGAGGGAGAGGAGCAGGCAGGCCCCTACCGTTGCCTGGCAACGCTATGCTCTGCCAGGCCTGCTCTCAGAGATGATCTTAGTTCACAGGCAACCCTTCCCCCAGCGCCCCCCACCATGGCCCAGAATTTGGGATTCTTCCCCTCCTAGGGAACAGTGGCCCTGGTCTCAGTTTCAGGGGGGTGGTCATTCTGGTTCTGTCTGGGACTGCAGGGGCTCTGAAACTCAACCTGGGCCGGGAGAGAGTGTTCTGACCAGGGAAAATGGCTTAGAAGTAGCAAATATTTGTGACTCAGCCCCACGGGAATGGTGCCAACGAGTGGAAAGGAAGGTGGCAGTACCAGGTCCCTCCTGCATGTGTGTGTGTGTTGGGGAGAGCACAGTGTGGTCCCGCCCATCCATGCTGTGGCTTGCAAAGGGCCAGTGGTTCTAGTCTGTCTGTGTTAGGGGCACAGTAGGATCCATTCAGTATATAGGCCCTCAGCTCTCCTTGTCATCCCAGCAGAAGCCGAGGAGGGTGCCCGGGCCTGGAATGGCAGTGCCGAGGGGCCAAGCAGGGTGGACGACAGGGGCCCTGTGGCCTCAGGGATCCCAGTGAGGAGCCAGGGGGCAGAGGGCTTGCTGGCCAGGATCCACCATGGAGGGGACCGAGGAGGGAGCCGCACAGCACTGCCCATACCCTGCCAGACCTTCCCTGCCTGCCACCGCAATGGAGGTGACAACCTGCCTGAAGACACAAACGCAGATGGGGCGGGCTGGGGAGGATGCCCCAGGGTCCGGTCCCTGACCTTATTGCATATCCCCTGTACAAAAGCATGTCCCAGGCTTTATACCACATCTCCATGCCCTTTCCTCCTCTGATGAGGTAGGGGACGGCTTGGGCGGGGCGCTCCTCTGGGGGCTGTGGGAGCGGGATCTTGGAGCCACTTCTGGCCTCACTGCTCGCTCTCGCCGCAGATTTCACGGGAGGCTACCGCCTGGGGCGCTCCGCCTCCACCTCCGGAGTCCGGCAGTCCGCGCTCCACACGGCCCGGCCCTGCAGCCAGCCCAGGGATGCCCCGAGCCAGGTGAGGAGGGAAGGAGCCGGCAGGGAAGATGGTCTGGCTGTGGACGGAAAGGGAGCGAGAGGTCCGACTGGGGCCTGAGTCGTCTTGGACCAAAACTAACGGGGTCGGAGGGTGAGGGAGTCCGGAGCAGGGTCCAGGGAAGGTGCTCAGCAAGGCAGCATCCGGGTTGGAGATGAGTCAGGGCGACCGCGCGCCTTAGTGCGCTTTGAAAAAGGCGCCCCCTCTGGATGGACGGATTGGGAAAGTGCAGCCGCTCTGAGAAGAGTTGAGAGAAGGCGCCCTTCCGGTCCACACAGCACAGGCTTGGCTGAGAGGGCAGGGGGTGGATTTTGGCCCCAGTGCGCCCCCACAGCCCAGGGAGGGGACGTGTCTGGAAGCAGACGGACGGTGGGGAAGCGCCAGTGTCACTCCGAGGTCCTTGACCCCACCCCTTTTCCTTTCTCCCCACCCCTGCCCGGGGCGGGCGGCGGGGAGGAAGGGGCACAGACGCCCCCTGCACTGCCGCTGCCGCTGCCGCTGCCCCTGCCGCCCCAGCCCGTCCGCGAGCGGGACGGCAAACTGCTGGAGGTGATCGAGCGGAAGCGCTGCGTTTGCAAGGAGATCAAGGCGCGGCACCGGCCGGACCGAGGCCTGTGTAAGCAGGAGAGCATGCCCATCCTCCCCAGCTGGCGGCGGGGGCCCGAGCCCCGCAAGTCCGGCACCCCGCCCTGCCGCCGGCAGCACACCGTCCTCTGGGACACTGCCATCTGAGGAGGCCGAGGCAGGCACCTGGACTGGGGAGTGGGACAGGGTATGCCCGGTCTCTCCTGGGAGACTTGCCTTGAAAGACACTTGAAGGACTAGGTGAGAGAGAGAAAGCCAGCGAGTCCCGCCCGCCCTCTACGCTAACCTCCGGAGATGGGGAGTCGGCCAGACCTGTTGGGCTTGGGGCGCCAGCAGCACCCTCAGAAATTTGGGGCAAGAGGAAGGTTTGCTTGAGTTTGGGAGTATGGCCCTCCACTGCTCTCCCCGCCCATCGAGGTAGACCCCTCCTCCCGAGAGGACAAAGGCCAGGCCAGAGTCCAAGTAGTCGGGGCAGGAGGGAAGGGCTAGGGAGGAGGAAGGGGACTGAATCAAATGAGAGAGGGTATAGCGAGCCCGGGAGAGCGGAGCTCTTTATTATAGAGTCAGCAATGGGGATGGGGTATTTATTTTGTTATTTATTTCAGTCTGGAGGGCATTCCTGGGTCCTTCTTAACCTACTCCTGAGCAGGGAGTGGGGAATTGCAGCAATTAAGTTTGCACTCTGCCCTATGCTTTAAGGCCCCACAGTCCATGCCCACCCCAAAGCTAGGGAACCACCTGACCTGGGTGGGGAGTGGAGTGGGGTGAAGTGAGGGGCTCAGGCAAGCTGAGGGCAGCAGATTCAGTTACAGTATTTACAATGTGCCAGAATTTGTAGTGGCCTGCTCCAAAACAGGCACCTTATTTGCTCTGGGGTGAGGTTCTAGTGCCAGAGATGGGCAGGGTGATGGGGAAGGGGGGATATTTTAGTGGGTGGAGGGGGGTAGGGTATTTATTTAAATTTGGAAAAAAAAAAAAAAGGAGAGATGTCAGGAACTTTTTTTTAATTCCTTTCTTTTCAGAATAATATATTAAAAGACTAATGATCCTAGAATCGACTTCTTATCTTTCGCAGTGTTCTCTGCCTGTCTTGAGTTTGTTTCTTTTTCCATCTGGCCTCGGTTGGTGGGAGTTGAAGGTTGTGTGGGGAGGGGTGAGTGGCTGTGGCAAGTAACAAAAAGCGGTGTGGCCTTTGAGGTAAGTCTTTAGGAATGCCACAAAAATGTTTATTGGGCATCTAATGTAAGCCTGGGAGCTCTGGTGGCATAGTGCCTAAGGCACTTGACTGCTAACCAGAAGGCTGGCGGTTCAAACCCACCAGCCACTCCTCAGAAGGCAGGTTGGGCAATCTACTTCCATAGGGATACTGCCTCGGAAACCCAAGGAGGGGTCGTTATGAGTCGGGTCACACAACAACAATGTAAGCCTAGTATTCAGACATCAAGCCTGCCCTCGGGCAGCTTCCTCGGGAGGAGACATCCCAGACAATAGTGGACAATACTGCAGGAATAAGAGAGAGAGGGGGCTGGAATCATCAAAGAAGTCTGCCTGGAAGGTGAGCCCAAAGGACAGGTAAGGTTTGGATGAGCAGATAGGGAGAGGAAAAGCCCCAAGACCACAGAACAGTGGGAAATGGGGGAGGAAGGGAGGGAAGTATGTTTCAAAAATGCAGAGAGCAATACGGATTAATCGCAAGCTGATGAACTTGACAGACACATCAAGGTGTGAAATATCAGCCTCACAGGAGGACGCTGGTCATCCGGAAGGAATCCTGGGAGGCAAGGAATCACAGAGATAAGGATGGGTAGGGTGTGTTAGAGGAAGGAAGGCAAAGCACAGCATTTAGGAAAACATCATCAGGATGGGGACAAAGGTGCCCATGTGATTAGGGAAAATGGTGGTGTCATCCTGACAGCAGAGAACGGGAGTTGAAAGTGAAGGAAGAACATTGACTATTCAGGTTGGAAGGTCTGTTACCAGCTAGAGTAGCATTTCAACAAATGGTTAGTGGTACAAAAGCTGAGAAGTGACATGAAGAACATCTTTTAAAACTTAAATAGTTATGAATTTCTTTTCATTCATATTAGAGAAAATTATAACCACAAATCATGGTTATTGTTATTTCATGGATATTATTACTCAGGATGAAGCCAAATTTATTTTTAATGAATTGGTATCCACATATGAGAAATTATGACAGTGGCATGAGAATTTCTGAAATTTAGGGAACAGCAAGCTAAAGACCAAATGATAATACTTTGGGAGAGAGGACAAGATGTGGACATGAGTTGTCATCAACATAGAAATGGCTCTTGAAGAGATGACCTTGAACTCCATAAGGGAGAGATAAGAGGACTGCTTACAAAATATAAATGAGCTATAACTTTTATATAAGGAGTTCTGATGGCTCAGAGTCTAAGGCATTTGATTGCTAACTAGAAGGTTGGTGGTTCAAACCCACCAGCTGCCCCACGGAAGGCAGATGGGGCAATCTACTTCCATAAAGATTTATCGTCTTGGGAACCCAAAGGGGGTCACTATGAGTTGATTCCGACTCAATGGCAATAAGTTTGTTTTTTGATAGCTTTTATATAACTAGTTAGAAAATTAATAGAAGAAGAAGGAACTATCCCTGTAGTTCTGTAGAGCAAGAAAAAGCATAAAATATCTGCAACTAAATAAGAAATATATTTGTTGTTATGTGACATCGAGTCGGACCCGACTTATTGCCACCCCTCCTTGGGTTTCCGAGGCAGTATCGCTATGGAAGTAGATTGCCCAACCTTCCTTCCGAGGAGTGGCTGGTGGGTGGGTTTGAACTGCCAGCCTTCTGGTTAGCAGTCAAGTGCCTTAGGCACTACGCTACCAGAGCTCCTAAGAATAAGACCTATTTTCAATCAATCACTAAAACTAAACTCCTGATTTACCTAAAAAAAGGAAAACTCGAATAAACAAAAGAGTAATAACTTGCATAAGAAGATAATATAAAAGATGTCGGCTTTCCCTAAATCCATAAATCCAATGCAGTTTCTAAATCTTCAAATGATTATTTGAGAAAATAATTTGAAAATGTGTCTAGAATGATAATGAGAGAAGGCAGAACGTTCTGAAACTGAAGAATAATGGAGAGATCTGCCCTCTCGAACAGTAAAGCATGAAATAAAACCACAGAGTACTGGGACTGGCACAGGACTGACACAATGCATCAGAGCAGAGAGAGTAAAGAGACCCCAATTAAAACTCAAAATCATTTGG